CTTCCTTTCTTTTGTGGGGGGACAGGTTTTCGTTGTATAATCTTGGCTGTCCTGGAACTTACTCTATAGACCAGGTTGGTCTTGAACTCACAGAGATCCGCCTGCCTCTGCTTCTCGAGTGCTCGGATTAAAGGCGTTTTGCCACCACCACCTGGTCAGATATGGTAAATTTAACAATAAATGAACCTCGAATTCATGGAACTTAACCCAATTTTGTCAAGACTTACTATCTTTTTACAAAATGCCACAAACAGAGTTGGCAAGACGGCTTGGTGCTTGAGGGTGCTGCTGCTCTGTGTAGAGGTCCAAAATTTGTTCTCAGCACCCAAGTCAAACAGTTCATGAGGATCTGACACCCTCCTCTGACTTCTGCAGGTATATTCAGGCATACATAGACACACATAAATAATACTTTTAAAAAAATGAATGCCAGGCATGGTAGATCAAACTTATAATTCTACCATTCAGTGGCTGTAAGTTTGAGATCAGCCTGGTCTACATAAATAATACCAGGCCAGACTGAGTCAAAGAGAGCCTGTTTCAAAAGAAACCAAAAAGACCTTTAAGAAAGTCAGGAATAACTTCAGTTTGCTCCAGGTCCATGAATGAGACACACCTGCAGCTTTTCCTATCACAATATACTAACCCAAAAGATGAGCATGCGGATGACGGCCTTGTTCCTATCCTCTGGTAAAATCTGTATATTTGGAATGATCTGGTTCTTGTGTGGCTGGTAAAACATGACTAAAACCGCCAAGGATGCTTGTATGTGCAAATATTGATAGTTTTGGTCATCCTTATAGTTTGCAATTTTATTAACATTTCCATAATCTTACAATTAAGATGAGCTGTATTTTGCTGTTTTTGTTTTTATAACAGAAATCCAAAATCTGGTGACTTAAGCAGGTTTTATTTTACTTGACTATCAGAGGTAGATTGTCCAGAGTATTAGGGTAGCTTCACTGTGCCATCTGGCACCTGATTCCTTAGTCTCTCTGCTCAGTCCCACAGTGTATGCTTCTAACTGTCTTGTCACTGACTTCAGGTTGGCTTCAGGAATGACAGTTTCATTCCAGGCAAAATGAAATAAAGAAGGGAACAAGATGTGAGTATTGTTGAGATATATTTTGAAAGATAACATTTTTATGTTCACTGGTGTTTTGTCTGCATGTACGAGTGCCAGAAACTCTGGAACTAGAGTTAAAGACAGGTGTGAGCTGCCATGTGGGTGCTGGGAACTGAACACGGGTCCTCTAGAAAAAGCAGTCAGTATTTTTAGCTGCTGAGCTATCTCCCCATCCCCACCACATTGTTTTTTATTTATTGTCAAAACTGTGGAGACAAGCCTACTCAGTGGGTACACAACATACATTCAAAAGGCACAAACACATGGACTTGGCCGGCTGTGACTAAGCTTTCTGACTGCTCTAGCCAAGGCTGCAGTGATTGGCAGGCGGCTGAAAACCAAGATGGAAGCCAGAGAGGAGTAGCAACATGGAAGGAATCGGCTTCAAAGACTGCATGCCTAACTAAGACAGGTCTGCCATGTCCAAGCCAGAGCTGTGATTGGGAAGGAAAAAGTTCCTAGATAGTGTGATCTGGGAGTGATGTCTCTGAAAAACTTAAATTCCTACCCTAGTGCTCAAAACAGGTACTGTAGCAAAGTAATCTCCCCCATAGATATGGAGGGATCCCTGGGCCCAACAGTATGGCCTATCGGGTCTGATGTAGCTATTGCTGCCACCTACTGGCCGTTTTCCTTTAATGAAGGCTGAAGCTAAGTGCCAAGAAACCATAGTGGGAATTTGCCTATATACAGTGTCTGGCATTTGAGAAGGTTCATTTCATGTGTGTTTGACTTTTGTCCTTGCCTCACCAGAACCACCATCTGAGAACTAAGAATGTGGCCTGCATGTCAACTGGCCGCTTTACAGGGAAGAAAGTGTGGGGGCTAGGCCTGCCTGTGATCGCAGAACTTTGTATCATGCAACGTACCACTTAAGCTTCTGGCCTTAAAAGTCACTGCAATGGTCTAACAAAGGTACATCCGAAACTTTAGCCCACAAGTAACACTCAATTACATGAGACACCAAAGTGGTACCTACGTACCAAATATGAAAGGTTACATGGTTCTGCATGTCTGGAGACAGTAACACACGGTCGATGGGACCGAGTCCACGCACCACTCTCAGGGACTTGCAACTTTTCGGGCTCTGCAACTTTCGAGGCCCAGGTCTCCAAAGACAGGGGCATGTCTGCAAACACACACGAACAATTTGAGTTACAAGGTTCATTTGGCTCTTGATGTCTAGAGACTAGAAGGCAAGATGGGGCTACTGTCCAGTTTTTTCATTCGCTCTCCTCCTTCCTCCTTGGTAGTTGTGCACTCAAAAAAATGTGATTTTCAGCAGCAAAAAAAAAAAAAAAAAAAAAAAAAAAATGTGATTTTTTTAAAAAGAGAAACTATTGGGCACGCACCAACTTAGGGCAACTAAACACCACCAAATTGGATGATGAATGAATGAATAACTGAAGTCAAGAAATGTTTAAAAAAATCCTAGAAAAAAATGAATATGAAAACACAACATCCCCAAACTCATGGAAAATAATGAAGGTGAGGTCCCAAGAAGACAGTTTACAGCTACTGGTTCCCAAAGTAAGAAATGATAGACATCGCAAACGAATTACTTAATGATACAGCTTAGGGCCTTGGAAAAGCAAAAATAAGCCAAACTTCAAATCAGTACATGGAAAAAATGACATCAGGAAAGAAATTAATGAAATAGAAACAATAACAGAAAGAATGAAACAAAAAGTTGGTTATTTGAACAGCTAATTGGAGTTGTTAAACCCTTAGCCAGACCAAGAAAAATAAGAATTACAAAACAGATGAAAAGAGAGACATTACAAGAGATACTGATAAAATTTGTAACATCAAGTCTTAACTTAAAAACTTACATTTCACTGAATTGGAAATGCTGTTAGAAATAATAATTTTTTTTTTTTAAAGACATCATGTATACAGTGTTCTGTCTGCATGTAGGCCTACAGGTCAGGAGAGGGCACCAGATTTTACTATAGATGGTTGTGAGTCACCATGTGGTTGTTGGGAATTGAACTCAGGACCTCTGGAAGAGCAGCCAGTGCTCTTCACCACTGAGCCATCTCTCCAGCCCCAGAAATGGATGAATTTATAGATACATATGACTTACAAAATAACATGAAGATGAGCAATTATGTAGTAGTAATTTAAGGTCCAGATGGATTCACTGGTGAATTTTATCAAACCTTCCAAGAACTAAAACAGCACTGCTCCAAATACTCCATAAGACAGAAAAGGAAGGACCATTACCACACTCTTCTATGATGCTACTAACCTGATACCAAAACCAGACAAAAATGTGACAACAAAAGAAAATTTCAGATCAATTTCCCTGATGAACATAAAGCACTCAACAACCCCCCTGCAAATGAATTCAGAAAAAGATCATTATCAAGCTGGGTCCAGATATGCAAAGACAGCTCAAGACATATATCAATACATGTTATCCCTTTCATGTTCAAAGTCCTAAAGACACTCAGAATAGAAGGAATATCATCTCACCATCACGAAGGCTACATGACAAACTTGTATTTTGTTAATATAATTCAAAGGTGTCCATTTTCTGTTCTATTCAATTGTAGTAGAAGTCTTAAACTAAAGCCACAAAACCAACAGAACAAACGAAAGGAAAGCCAGCAGGAAGGGAAGAGGTCGAAGAGCGAGCACCTCCACCGGTGGATGGTAGATTCTACAAGAGGTTAAGACACCACCAGAAAACTCTTAAGAACTGATGAACACTCTCAGCAAAATGGTTCGATACAAAATGAACATAAAACCCAGCAGCCTTCTTACATACTCGAGGAGGCAATAAAGAAAAAAATTCCATTCACGACAGCCTAAAAAGATATTTTGGAAAAAAAAATTAACAAAGGACAGGAAAGATCTGCACAATGAAAATGCCTTGAGTTTCACAAGTTGTGCAAATGTGACACTAAGGCTGAGAAAGCATAAATCCAAATTCTTTTCCCTGCCACAGCTCGACATTTAGTAAGACACACCTACATCCCGACCCCTTAACCTGAATCGTGAACTAAGTCCTATCAGTCTCAACTGTTATTCTGTCGGTGTATCCTGTGTGAAACACCACTACCAGCACTAACTGTTCAACTTTACAACAGGCACAAGCCACAGAACAGCACCAATTTGACTTGGCTTTCATGTCTGTAAAAACATGTCATGTTTGTTGTTGATGGGACTCAGGGAAAATTACAAATGTAAAGTGGGTAGGCACCAGAAGCACAATTCAGTTAAAAAGCAGCAACTATTATTTAGTGTGTATGTGTGGGAGCAAGAGTGCCATGGTATGCATGGATGGGCAAGTCGAAGGACAACTTGCAGGAATTGGTTTTTGCGCCCCCCCACCATGTGAAGCTTAAGGACCTAATTCAGGTCACATCTAACCCACCTGCTTAGCCATCTTGCCTGCCTACTAGCATCTATTTTTATCCACATCACCTAATATGTATGGATTCACTTGGTTATTCTAAAAGCCCTTTGGTTTCCAAAAATATTAGCTTGCCTGAAATCTACAATTAGAACAAAAAATTTAATGTAAAATGTTACAACCTAGACAGAATTCATCAATTTACTACTCTAATCAGACTAATTGTTCAATGTTCTGATTTATGAAAAGCATTACTGGACTCAAAGAGCAACAAAGACCACAAAGAATAGTTTTTTTTTTTTTAAACCAAGCTATGAAAGAGTTACACTACCTGACTTTTTGATACCTAGACAACTATCAGGTCTAATGGGTAGAAAGTTTGTTTGCTGTATGAACAAATGAACCTAATGCCTAACTCAGAGAGTAATATAGTCTGTTCCACATACAGTACAATTATATCTTCACCATAACAAAATATTAATATATATTTTAAAAACGACATTTTCAAAAGCATTTTAATTTTCTAAATTTTAATTCAAGTACAAGTCAGCTAGTTAACATAAATACAGAATAAATGCACATAATCTGCAGCCATGTACAAAAATGCAATAGCAACACTCATATAAATGGGCAAAACTCATCAGCTCTTTTAAAGCTGGCTGAACTATGAGTGATTGGTATAATTTAATTCACATCCACTGGGGTACAGTCAAAAAATTTAACATAACTGAGCAGAACTAGACTCTTTAGTTTCTAAAATGGGTAGCATAAAAACCAAGGGAGAGTTAAGGAGAAACAAAGTTACGTTAGAAAAGGTATGTGAGGGGCAGAAAGCACTTTATTTCATAGGGTAAAATGCGGTCCTGTTTAAAGCAGACACCTATCTTCTTAGGAATGTTAGGTCATGATCAACGAGGACAAATGAGCTATGTTTCAGCCCTACAGGGGTCCCTATAACACGAGCAGTTTGCAGAAGAGCATGTAAACAGAGATACAAAGAAAGTCCTTAGAGAAACGGGGAGATTAATTCCTACCACTTAAGTTCTTCAAATTGAAATCGCTATTTCACGGTGATTTTAAAAAGCCACTTTAAATACATTTTTTTTTTCTTTTGAACATCCCAAACTGTGCTCATTCTAACAGGGCTACCACACAGCAGACATCGAGGGTTAGGAGACATGGCTGGGCTAAATGACTTAGGATGCTGTCATAGTTTCATAATTATAAGCCAGTTGAGCTCCCTCTAGTGAGTCAGGCTGGTTCTGCAGTCATATAATGAGAACTGGGACAGATCTGGTGAGCATGGAAGGGAGGGTCTGTAAAACCAGCACTTAGTAGGCAGAGGCAGAAGAATTTGGAGTTCAAGGTCATCTTGGGTAATAAGAGACCCTATCATAAGACAAAAAACAAAGTTTGGTGGTAGAGCACTCCCTGGAAATTTAAAGCACGATATGGTACCCACTAGAGCCCAGAGGTTCACCAGCTGGAATACCCAAATTTCAAGCCTTTGAGCCACAGCAGCAGAGTCCTGATGGGTGAGGGTTTGCTTCCAGTAGCTACTGCTCTAGCTTGTCTGAATAAGTTCAATTTTCTGAGAGGACCACATAAAAGTATACAACAAGGTCCACTCTAGCTCTCTAAGACATTTTTAACAAGATTATCTGATGGAAAGCAATTTTTAAAAACCCAATGCTCTGAGTATGCACAGCTTTTTAACATTACAATGGATTTAAGAAAATCTTTAAAGAGACAAACTATACATAACACACATATATGTTTTTTAATTATCTCTGTCATAAAGTAAACTATGGCAGACAGTACTCAAGGGAAAAACAAAACAGACCTCATTGTTCCTTTCCAATGACTGCTTTCAAAGTAAATACTAAGACTTTAACCCCCTTTCTTGCAGAACACACACTAACACTTTAAACACCGAGGACAGCGCACCAGAGGCTAATGTAAAGTTTTTCTTACAAACACAGAACACATGTTCATCCTTGAAGGACACTTATCATGGGTTTGCTACAACTACACAAGCTGTTCCTTAGCTGCTGGTTTTCTTGTCATTCTTCATCATTTGAGATCGGTGTAACACAGGAGAACATGTCCTACATTCAACACAAGTAAGAGTTATGGATCTTCACAGAGCAAATGGCACTGTATCGGGCAGTAACAATGGCACCTGAAGAGGCAAACACTATAGCCTGAGACCTTCTCTACAGATTTAAGTTAAACCCCCAGGCGAGGATTTATTTTTGGTATGTTCCATGCAATAAATGTCAAAGCTGTAATAATTCCAAAGGTAACAATCTGAACTTGCCTTTGGTCTCCAAACAGATTGGAATATTTTTAATTCCAAATGAGCACCTCAAAGACATCCAGTTATTGTTTACAAGGAAGTCAAGGTGAGAGATTTAAGAGGGCATTAACTTCATTGGTGACAGCAGCGAAAGCTTTCAATGGCATGCGACTTTTTCCATATTGTGGCATTACACAGTACACGGCACACTTAGAACGCTGGAAGATCTCCAAAATATCTCCAAAACATGTCTAAAAATCCAAAAAAAAAATATGAACACTGCTTCTGCCTAATACCTAACAATATTTTAAAAAAATTAACCACGAATTCTTACCCCCTTAAAAGGCCACAAAGTGCATTCACATAGTCATTCTGAAGAGAAAGCCATTGCACAAAATGTAAGGTTAGGGTACACTGATGAGTACCACAGTGGAGTTTAATTGTAGAAGTTTTATTTATATACCAGTATAGCAACATCCATTGGAAAATCTATAGTATTACAGCAAACACCTTTGTAATGGCCATATATAATACAATTAAAGTGTTAAAAGGTGTTGCTGACTCAATAGCAAAATTTAAAAACTATATCCTGTTAACACATTGAACTAAAATTCGCCTGACTTTACGATAGAGCATTCAGGAAACTAGGACAGAACAGAATTTGTCCAATGCAGCACACTGACGGACAAACTCCTGGTCGACTATGATTTGCTGTCACATAGCTGAAGACCTCTTCATTCATCTTGTCCTAAACATTAGTATCACTTCAAGGGCAAAAGTGAAAAATTACCATTTTCTCTATCAACCAAGAATAATCTATACAGATGTGGAAATAATTTAGAGGTTAAAATTCTTAATGCGAAAGTAAGAAGAACAGACTCAAAAATCATTAGCTTCTCTACTTTTGTAAATAACATGTGGGTATGGGAATTTGATAATCACATATGGCTCTATTCATGCATTATGTAATTGGAGAAGATGTGACGAAGCACTTGTCATAAAAGTCACTGAGGTGGCATCCACTAGCTTATTTTATAGCCCCCACATTAGCCATGCACATCTTATATGATAAAGTCCACATTGTAATAAATATATTAGCTGTAACCAAAACATTCTAATGCTGAAAGTAAGGTATTTAGATAACATTTCACTGGTTGTCAAATACAGTGACTACTGATGCCAAACAATTTTAGAACACTGTATCAGGCAGGGCCCTCTCAGGAAAATTGTACTAAGGATCTATCTATCATTATTTTACAGTATTACAAAAGATGTCAAGTTAGACATTTGCAATTGTCACCACTATCTTTGGATAATTACTTAGAGATGACTTTGTTTAGAAGACTGAAAGAATTCAATTAATACTATATTCTGAATGTCATAAATCAATTTTTAAAAAAACATAGTTGTGAACAATGGTAGAGAAAATGGCAATTTTAAGAAACAAATGCTTTTCAAAGCATTCTCTTAGAGGTGGCCCAGGGCCTCTTCACTGAAATACTAATGTAGTGTGGTACTTTACTTTCTACAGCCAAACTTCCACTCAGCCATAGCAGTTATATGCTTCCAGACTACTGTCTTCTGTCCACCACGCTGGCTTCAAGATTCCATGGTCCACTGTGATCTTTTGGTCTTCCTGCTCTGTAGCATGACAGCCCACGCTGCTATCCATTAAGTAGATAGACCACCAATTCATAGGTGGCCATCATAATGGCTGTGTTTGGAATTTGTCTCACCAGATGAGTTGTTAGGCCACGGTAAAGAGACCCATAACCTTCTTCTTGAACAATCAAAGATAGTGTCTGAAAAAAAGATCTGTATTTTGTTCCTTCTTCCCGTAGTCGTGTTCTTACAACTTCTGTTTATGAAAAAAAGAAGAATCAATTTATCGAAACATTTTCTTATCTTTCCACTCTCATCATACAGAACATACCTGATCTATTACTCTATAAATGCAGGACAGTGGTTCAATGTATAGCTGACCAAACCAGTCAGATTACATAACAGCAAACTAATACAGCCCAGATCATATACACTAGTTAACATATCTGTTGCAGAAACAGATAAAAGGGTGTATATACAGCATGATAAATAATATCCATAGGTATATGGATATAAGAATTAGATATGAATATAGAAATTAAGCTATGAATATAGGAAAATTTTTTGGCAGGCATTCTTAATGTGCCAACATAAAATAACAAAACAAAATCGCTTGGGCCCTTACAGTTTAAAGACTTTAAATTTGAGATCCATTTCTGATGTACCCTTGGGCAATTACTGTATTTTTGCATTTCTTCTTGTTTAGAATTTGAAAATGATGGCATACCTAAAATTATTAAGAACAACATTTTGATTCGGGTGGTGGTGGCACACCTTTAATCCCAGCACTTGGGAGGCAGACAGGTGGATCTCTGTGAGTTCAAGGCCAGTCTGGTCTACAGAGTGAGTTCTAGGACAACCAGGACCACACAGAGAAACCCAGCCACTCTCTTACCGTGTGGATACGCTATGGTTGTGGCACAGGATTTTGAGGTGGCAGCAGCTAGCATCATTCTCACGAAATCCGATGCTTCTTTCACAGACTCTTCATCACTTTCCATCATGGAAGCAGTCTTGCACTCCAGTAGTTTTTGCTTTATACTTTCATAAATAACAAAATGGATAACTGTCTCTGATATGCCAGCATAGGAGGCAGACATGCCTCTATAAAATCCTCTCAGTCCATCTGTTTGATATACTTTACGAATACATTCAAACGCACCCATTCGCTTTTCCCCACGATTCCTGAAAGGAAAAGAGAGAAAACAACTGACATTAATTACTGGAAGATTTGTATCAGTTAACAATATATATATTTCAATATGACACTCTACTAAACAATGGTCTTTGTCAACTCATTAAGAATTTCAAAATATATGTGAGTTTGAGGCCAGCTTGGTCTACAAGAGCTAGTTCCAGGACAGGTTCCAAAGCCACAGAGAAACCCTGTCTCGAAAAACAAAAAAACCCACCACCACCACCAAAAAAAAAAAAAAAAAAAAAAATTCATTTTCTTCTCTTAAATTTGTTCTATTAAGATGGATATCATGTAATTATCTTACCAAACACAAAGCACACTGTAACTCTTCAGTTTCCTGTGCTCCTCAATATGGGAGAACTCTATGCTCAAGCATTGACTCAAGGAAGACTCAAACCCTACACTGTGATCATCCCCGTTCTAATTATGCTCAACTTTCCTTGAATTTAGTAACACAAAAACAATGAGGGCCAGGTATGATGGTGCACACCTTTAATTCCAATACTCTGGGAGACAGAGGCTGGTGGACCTTTGTGAATACGAGGCCAGCCTCGTTTACACAGTAAAAAACACCTCTCAAACAGTCCCCAATAAAATAAAAAAACAACAACTGAGGGACACTGTATCACAAAGCAAGGAGTATGACTGAGTTTCTTCCATTTCACCCAGGTCCACCTGAAAACTTACCAGATAAATGTAATGCCTATGTGATGTCCTTGTTAGTAGCTTGGTAAATGATAATTCTGTTCCTATAGTTACAAGGTGCTTACTCAGTATCTTTCCCAAGATAATCTTTAGTACCACTTAAGGGTACAGAATCACTTTGTTAAAAACACTTACTATAACACATCATAGGAATACTACCTCCTAGCTCAGGGTTTTTATACATAGGTCCCTGGATTTGAGCAATGGTCATCACTTTAGACTAGCTACTATGTAACTTGTTTAGCTATTGGGAGGCCCTTACAAGCAATTCATACAGGTGGGTAGAATATCACTTTCTGGCGTGGTTAACCTACTGTTTCCCAATAAAAAGCACACGAAACTCTTTAACATACAGGCAGTTTTCTTATGTACTGTCTCACTATCAACTAATGTAACTTTTTTGCATCTGAGGGGAGATCCACATTTCAGAATGAAACAAAAGCAACAATAAATACTCAGCAGATAGCCCCCACAGCACCAGAAAGTGCTATTCAGGATGCTGGGAAGAAGTTTCAACCAGATTTTACTCAGCTGTGGATCCTGTGTGCAAGAATATTGACTGGCTAGGCAAGATGAACCTACTGGTGCAATACTGGCAAGTCTATTTCAGGGGATACCCAATCTGCTTTCTGATTGAACGTGAAGCTTGCTCCATAGCAAAGATTCACATTTGGTTCTGAAAACTGTCAAAACCCTATGGCTAAGTGGGGAAGCTACTTGTGTTTTCCTCAATGAACAGAATACCCGTCATATTGCCTTGTAAATAACTATGCTCATGTCCACAGAAGAATGCTGATGCCAGCTTCCTTTCGTAGTGGTGAGCCATGACTACAGATTGGTCATTGTGCCAAGAATAAGCGACTGGTGAACGCTCAGCTATAAATGGGACACAAGCCCCTCCAAGCATCCACAAACACTACTGGAAGAAGGGCTGGAAAGAAAGTAAGAGCCAGAGGGAAAAAAAATAGGTGTGGAACATTGATTCCAGTTATGGTGTGACTGCAGTATGGCGGCTGTGATGACCTGCACAGGATCTCCACAAAACTGGGCTGGTCAACACTGTCAGGGAGGGGAAGGGGTTCATGGGATGCCACTTTTTCCGAAGACTTAGATGCAGTTAAAGGTTGATAGGGGGAGGATTCCTTCAGTGGTGTAGTTATCTTAAGGAGCCTACCCTATTGTAAATAAACTGTTTTCCATGGCTCCTATAAATAACTCTAAATAAATTCACAGCTGCATATTCAAAACAGACAAAAGCAGAAGTGGGGCTAGTTAGAAGAAAGGGATCACGGAGAATGGGGCAGGAGAGAGTAACGGGGGGTGAATGATAGAAATGCATCATGGGCATGTATGGAGATGTCATAATGCCATTCCATGTTTGTGTATAAACAGGATAAAATGAGGTAAGGCAACCTGGCCCTGAGGCACTACTGATACAAATTTATATAAAAAACACTTAAATCTATGTTAGCTAGCTTATTTTACTTTCTTTTTAAATTTTTTTTATGATTTATTCATCTTTTTTTATTTTATGTGCATTGGTGTGAAGGTGTCAGATCCCCTGGAACTGGATTTTCAGACAGTTGTGAGCTGCCATGTGGGTGCTGGGAATTGAACCCGGGTCCTCCAGAAGAGCATTCAGAGCTCTTAATCGCTGAGCCATTTCTCCAGCCCCCTTATTTTACTTTCAAGAATAAATATGCCTTAAGCTGGGTGTGGTGACTCACCTATAAGCATAACACTTGGGAGTCTGAGGCCAGAAGAGGGCAGCCTCTGTTCCTCCTCGGCTACTCGAAGACCCTATCTCCAAACCAAACCAAACCAAACCAAACCAAACCACCCAAATAAGCACATACCTTGCATCAAGCTGTAACCGGGTCTTTATAAGCCAAATGGGGTTTGTTGCAGTGATTGCAGTAAAACCTAAACAAATATATTTAAAATGAATGTCAGTAGACAGGAACCACACTATTCACACTAAGGATCTTTACACTGTATGAATCTATAGTAACGACAATGGCTACAAAGGTTCAAACTATTAACTGAAGTAAGCTTTACACTTTGAACACCTGTTCATCCACATAAATTCTCCACTCTGGCCTTCCTAGAAGAATCTTTCAGGAACAAGTCTTATCTCCCCTCAAGTGTCGCTCTAACTCACGTGCAAACAGGGTGCTCTCTACTCTGTGAGTCAAGCTCACAGACAGAAACTCTGTGCATTCTGCAGTAGCTGCCTGGGGCAGTCACATCACCTGCACACTCCATTCACATGGACGTCTACACAAATGGCACCACTCAATAATATAGGCCTGTGAACCAGCAAAGATTTGTTGGGCCCTGTTTTTTAGTTTGTGTTTTTTTGTTTTTGTTTTTTAAAGTAAGTATTAGCACAGACGTAAGATTTCTGTTAGGGTTAACAGATGGGATCTACTTGTCATCCAATTAAACAAATAAAAACTCTAAAGTCCAAAAAAGTTACAAACTGGAATTTCCTGCTCACTTGTACAGACAGTGAAAAGTCAATGGGGTAGAAGGCACTCTCTCTTACTAGCATTCAAGTGTCACCTAGTAACTACTGTAGGGAGCAGTTCCCACGGTGGCTCATCTCAGACAGTAAATTAGGATCTCTGGGCAGTGAGTTTTCTGGGACCATGCACTATCTTTTACTTGGTGTCTTCCTACTTTTAGAAGAACAACACAGAAAATGCAGTCTTATTGACAGGAATTTATAAAGATGTTTCACCTATACAAAACAGGGCATTCCTTTTGTTTTCTCATTTAAGATCAGTAATACAAACTTCAGAGAATTACATTTACTCCACTGGCCTTTAAATTCACTGAAAACTCATGAAGAGAAATAAGGAACTTAGCTATTTAATACCTTCTATCAAATACTATCAAGTCAAGCAGATTGTTTTTAAAAAGATATACTATACTCATAGCATTTAAATATGAACAAAAATACTGTGATGTGTTTAATACTACTTTAAGAGCCGTTAGACTCAAACTTTCCTTGGCTTTTAGAGCTGCTACGGAAGGGAAATAATTTTACCGAACTGTTTACAAAGCCAAACTAGGTTTCATAATGAATGCTCTTTCCCCTTCTGCAATACCAGATAATTAACTCACTCAAATTTTACTTGTTTTATGCCATGTTTTAACACTGTAGAAGTAGCCACATGACACACAAGGCGGGGGGGGGGGGATCCCAATTAAACCTATTTAGCAAGATAAATGAAGTCTTGGCTTATTAACTTTGAGAATTTTGTGACCAGTACATAGATTCTGCTTTTCTTAAGTGCTTTTAATACTACATACATAAAGAGAAGTGAGAACAGTAACTACGGCAGCATTAGCTGGTAATAACATAATAAATGCGGAACAGATTGCTAGGGAACATCTTTTTTAATAAGGGATTCTTCTCATGAGTACATTCTTGGTGAAAGAATAAATGTGACCATCTGACTAGTTTAAATGTTTGTCTTACATCTTTAGTTTCAGAATGAACTTACACTGTTATTTTCTTCCTTTAAACCGTATTTTTCTAAATGAGAAAGTTAAACTCAACATTTTAAAATTATGTATGATCAGGCATCAATACAGGCCAAAACACCAAGTAACTCCTTGCTGGAGACTGAAATCAAGGCCTCACCACTGGTAGGCAAGTGATCTAACTACAAAGTCGCAGCCCTGGCCACGATTCTTAAACAAGAATTGTATCTCCTAAGAACTTTTAGTAGTTACATGTCTATGCAGCAAGATTAAGAGTTTTTAAGTAAAAAGATAGGGAGCAGTGTAAATCTACAATTATTCACTATTCACAATAATTTTAATTATTTCTAAGAAAAACTTGCCTTCTTTAAAAACTTAATTTAAGAGGCATATAGTGGAAATCCTTCTTTAAACTAAAAATAAAACTATTCAATTAAAATTTTTTTCATTTAACTTTTAAAAAAAGATTACCACCAATTGTAAGTTTAAAATAAAACTTTTAGTTAAAGTTTCTGTCCTAAATCTCTCTCCAAGTCACAAAGTCCCTCACTTTAAGATCCGAACAATGCATATAAAATTATTTTAAAATATTACTCAGAATACAAAACTTTGAAGACTCAAATGGTAACTTTAAAACTACTCTGCAAATAAACAATGTCAGAAAGCAAACAGCAGGTATTTCTCACTGAACTAAAATTTATTTCCAGACACAGTATGCACCAGACCACCACTAAGATTTTGGTATTGCTGAAGGCTATGCTTGCTGTGGCTGTTCTGGCTTAACTCTTGGTGGAATTGGCACCAGTGCTCAGGACAGACAACCAGCCAATCAGCAAACTACTACTGGCTTGAATAAAGAAGCTAGGCATTAGCGTCAGGGTTTTAGCTGTTGATTCTTTAAAATTTTGGATATATTTTTAAAAAAATGCTGATTCTTGATTTCACAGTATTACTTTCTCTTAACCAAAAAATAGTTTAAGTAGCAAATAGACATTTTTAGACTAATTAAATCTGGTAAAATATAACCTATTAACACAAGAAATGAAACAAATGGAATAAGACAAAATTTATGTGGTAAGGCAGTTTGTGGTTAGCCCCACTAAACATGTCTTCTTCCTACATTTACAACAAGCACGCAGATATTGGGCATGGTGATATAAAGTTTAGAAATTGCCTATCACTTTTTATTTTGCATTTTAGTTTTGCTACATTTTGATAAAAGGTTAATGTATTCAGAACATCCAAATAAAACATTAAAACCAGCTGAAAAGTATAACAACGTTCACTTATAATTAAGGCTTTGTACTGTTCCAGAATCAACTAAGGCAAAGTGCCAATACATTTAATTAGTAGTATCTGTGTTTTATGAGAAAACTTTAAATATAAATTTAAGTTATGCACCAAATAAAACTCCACTTGATAATATGCCAATTAAAAATATAAACAAATCCCACCCATAGAAACTCGCTGAAAATGTTTAAGTGATATCTGCAGTATTGCATTTCAGTACTTACTTCAATTAAATTCTGAAAATGCAAAACATATACAACCTAAGATAAAAGTATCAAAACTGTTTTAAAATTAAAACTACACTAAAACATCTAAGACTTCATTCACTATAGTCTGCACTTCTTAGAAAGTAGAGACACCAGTCTTTTCACAACAGCAGTAATCAGGTCATTCAAATACCAACAGACTAGAGTAAAAGCACTATATCAGAATTTTAAATGTTAGCTAAAACATTAGCTAAGTAAAGACAAGACAGCTATCACTATGTAACAGTTGTAGGACAGACAGCATATTATCAACTACAGCTCTCTCTAATATATTAATATATAGTGTTGTCATTCCGCGGAGGCCAAGGCTATATTACAGCCAAGCTGAAGACCCCCTATTTACATGGTAACTGGAGAGTACCCCATGCTTCCTTCTAGAAGGATAACAAAGGGACCAGAGTTAAATCTTTATGAAATACTCAATAATGCACACAAATCCATGTCCCACCTTCTACTCATTCCACAGCTATTACAAAATCCCAGGGTGTGTTTCTTATACTAGAGGCTGCAAGAGATGCTCAGATCAGTACTCACGAGGTTAAGTTAGTCCATATTTCTACAGGAAGTGACCTGCGGATGGGGAGCATGAGATGACACGATCTCACTCTTTTCTCGGGAGAAATGTACAGTAAATGCCTAAAATAGACACAGGCTTTTCTGTATCATAACAACAGTGACCTCATCAGATACATGTGTACAAACTGAATCCCACTGGAAGGATTTAAGAAATATTTACTGTGAGATCTTTTTTTTTTTTTTTGAAAAATTTTAAGTAAGAAGACTATCAGAATGGGCCTTGTGCTTTATTACAAAAGTGCACAGAGTACTGACAATCCCGCCATCTTCAGCAGATTCAGAGTCCAAATACTTACCTAAAAAGATGATCAATTTTGTCTTAAAGAAAAAATGCTAACCTTGTCAAGGGAGACTCTAATAAAAGTTTAGAAGGGATGCTATGTTCCATTTCCTACCACTGTTATCTACCATGAAAAGAGCTGCAGACACTTTTTATCTGTTCTTTAAAAATCAGATTATCTAGTGATTTAAAAAGCAACCAAGCAAACAGAAATAAGAGCCCCAACAGAATATTAAAGTCTGGAACTTTGCATAACTAATGAAGATCACAGTGCTAACAAAAGTACCTGTCACCCTTTGACTCTAGCAGTAATATTGCACATCCATACTTATGGAATATTTTGGATTATTTTGTATTAATTCTTGTGTTCTACAAAACAGAAAACAGGAAAAATGTTCACAAATAAGTATACAAAGCAGCTGTCCAACCATGCACCTGGCTGACTACTGTAAGGTAATCTTTATATTTAAGGAGTAAAAAAACACCTAACCTTCATTTAAATAATGAAGTTAAAAAAAACACAGAAAAAAGATACCTTGAAAAAATGTGTTCTTAAAAACAAACAAAAAAAACCCAAATAATAATTATGCATTCTGTAAGCATATATTACTCACTTGATATATTGATGACACAAAATGATATTTATTGACACATTAGAAATTTCACACCAAATATATGGTTACAGTTAAAAATAGAAACAGAAATTTCCTTTATACTTATGTCACATATAAAAAATATGTGTTTGTCAGGTAAACTTTTAAAAATTAAGAATTACTGTAAAGAAAGAAGAAACAATACATTTAGGCATACCAACGGGTGCCATGGTATACTCAGAAGGTTACTCAAGATTATTTCAACAAGACAGACACAAAACAGATACCCCAAAAGCTACAGTAAACAGTGTACCCATAGTCATGTGTAAGGGGTAAAGGGGTTCGTAGAGCACAAAAACAATCAGGATTACTCGGATTAAATATCTTTGTTACTGGAAAATGTTTCCGTAAACAAAAACAAACAGTATATTTTAGCTGTGGCCACTTACAACACTGCCAAAAATGACTCTCTTTGACTGCAGTTTTAACTAAGTTTAATATTTAAATTACATGTTTTAGTCAATTTGGGTAACATGCAAAATGAAACTGAAGACAGGCCCTGTGGCTGTGGATGCTGACTGGAGTGGTAAAATCCCCAGGTAATAGGGCTAACAGCCTCTTTTAATGCAGTTTTGCTACTAAGGTGACAAGGTTAGCATTTTTTTTTAACAATCACTTAAAATCTTTTTCACATGACTTATCTTTAAGTATTTTGTACCTCTTAAATCATTCTTTGATGTCCAAATATATGACCCTGAAGAAAACCCAGAGCAATCTGCTGTTGATTATTTTAAGAATAAAGGGGGCAAAAAGCTACCTTAATCAATCTGTACGGGACCATTCTCTTTCACCAGCCATGTAGCTACACATAAAAACCTGCAAAGCTAGATGTTAATGCTAACAAATAGTACAAGGAAATGCTGAAGGCGTAATTTTCAGGAAATATAACTGCAAACAAATAAAAAAAACTTTCAAATTACACGGTAAATGCAAAGGGTAATAATGTCTGAATATGCACGCTTATCAATTTACGAAAACGGAAGGAATTCAAGTTGGGAAACAGTACTAATGAAAATATTATACATTTAAGAAAAGAATTTTTAATGTTTTACTGAATTACTTTTCAATGTGATATAGAAACAATAAATTTTGATGAGATAGTCTAATATAAGAAAATGTTTCTATAAGAATTTAGATACCCTGAACTTCTAAATGTGTAATATTGAATTCATAATAAACACTGTCAACTTTAAAATAACTAATTTCTTTTTCTTTCTTTCTTTTTTCTTGAGACAGGGTTTCTCTGTATTCCTGACTGTCCTGGAACTCACTTGCTCTGTAGACTAGGCTGGCCTCAAACTCAGAGATCCACCTGCCTCTGCCTCCCAAGTGTTGGGATTAAAGGCGTGTGCCACCACTGCCCAGCTTATCTAGTTTCTTGATTTCAATTTTTTAAAAAGTATAAACATTTCTTTTTAATGTTCTGGAGTTACAGACAAATAGGCACCACACACAAATGTCGACAATCTAGAAAGAGATTGCTAACCTAGTATAATGGTTGCTGGGTTTATAACTAATTGGCCCAACTTTCACCTATACCCAGTCAAATCTGTGAGAGGAAAACATGTATAACCAACATCTATAAATAGTACAATTAAAAAATTCTAGTTTGTAACTAGGCAAATACTATTATACTAAGAACTAATTCTCAATACTAATTCTCAATAATTGATTATTACTAATCAATACTAATTCTCAATAATTGATCTATCCAGATCAATCCAGTTATTCCATGGATAAGTTCCCCCAAACTCCCAGGAATCAAGATCTCCAGACTGGCAAATCAGAGTATACACTATCTTGACTTAAAGCACTGCCCCTTCCAGCTTCAAAATGTCAATTAGTCATCAACTGTAAATATAAAAAGTCTTGAAAACAATTTGTAAGTTATATGCTAGATTTATTATATAGCAGAGGCTACCAGTCTTTCATAAATCAGCATTTCAGGTTACACTTGGCTAAATTGGTTAAAATGTGGTTCAAATTAAACTATTCCAAAGAGAAAATGATTAGCAGTTTCAAGGCACTCATCATTAAGTGCACAATGGGAAGTCAATTTATTGATCAACAGCTGATAAAAGCAACTATAGTTTTCCTTACAAAGTTACAGAACAATTTGGAAATGGGTGGATAAAATAATTCTCAGAAAATTGGAAGAATTTTCTATTAAGAACTAAAATTCAAGGCATTGTTTAACATGCATGGCAGCAAATGATTCCAGAACCAGAGTGACAAACCAATCTCTACCACTTACTCTTAGAAAGACCTGTGAGGGGTGTGCTGATGCAGAAGTTCCTGGAAACATTTCTACACAAGCATGTACACACAAGCCATTGTCTAAAGCTAAGATCAGTATATAGTCCAGATTATGAGGAATGATACACATCTTCTCAAACATAACAAATTATAGTAACTGAACCATAATAAAGATCACAAAAACTGTAGCATCCAAGCACAGGACACAACGAATACTTTACCAAGTATTGGCGGCACATTTCAGACAGAAGCCAAAACATGCAGCAGGTAGGCACTAACGGAAACTGAAGAGAGCAAATGGCAGCTCTAATTCCAGTGGGATTATGGCTGGACTCTTAAAGCATGAATGCATTAAATATTAGGCAATACACAGCAAAATAAATATACTATCTACAGTCTGCCACTTAAACTCAGTTTACAAAGTTACAAAGATGTAACTGATAACAGATTTTATGTATAGCAAATGTTTTATTCAAACGAACAAAATCATCTTTATAGATTTTAATTATTAAAAAACACACTATCTTAATTTGATATAAAGTCATCATAAAATATTAACATTTCCAGGTTTGAGAAGTTTTACTATTAAATATTCATACCTGCCATTGCAGCTGAAATCATGTGTACTTGGGTAGAATCAGGATCAAAAACACCATTCAACTTTTCCTTGCAGTTTGAATAAGCAGCAAAGTATATTGCTCTAAAAATAATTTAAAAAGCATAAATCTTTATAATTCTAGAATAGAGAAATCTAATAGTCTGTCATATTCACCATAACATCAGTTTACCTATGTTTCCACTAAGCATGTTTTGTACTTCACAAAGGCCAAACGCCAATGTGTGGTTCCTAGCACCCACTGTCACAGCTCCTAAGCTGTGCTCCATACTGACAATGCGAATCATATCCTGTACACCAGTGCGGCTATGCTATTTGTACTTCTGAGTTAGTGTACTTAACCTGAGTTAGGTGGTCATAACTTTAGAGGTAGAGCTGATCTAACTGGTCTGCTGCTGGACAGTTCTGAGAATCTGTAGTGTATTTTACCCTCTAACACATACAGAATAGGTTTACACATTCTACTGTAGTATATTTTACCCTCTAACACACACAGAACAGGTTTACACATTCTACCTTTTGGTGCTGGAGATCCCACCCAAGTCTTTATTCCTTTTATACCTCTTGCCCACAGTATTCTTTCTTTTTTTTAATATTTTTTTTTTCAAGACAGGGTTTCTCTATAGCTCTGGAGCCTGTTCTGGAGCTAGCTTTTATAGCCCAGGCTGGCCTCAAACTCACGGAGATCTGCCTGCCTCTGCCTCCCGAGTGCTGGGATTAAAGGCGTGCACCACCACTGCCTGGCGTTGCCCCACGGTATTCTTTAGACAAAATAATTTTAACAAATGTGATCAGGCCCATTGGGCCAGCTTATGTTTTGCAATGTGTGTAAAATACTCCACTAGACTTAGAGCTCTTTCAGCCTTTGAAGTACTGAATTATTGCCTTGCTGAATCAAATATTGCATTATTTCTCAACAAAGCTGACTTACAGTAACAAAGTAGACCAATAATTGGTAATGGAGAGTTTCATTACCCTGACTTTTCCTCCTGATTGTGTAAGTATTCTGCCTGCAGGTAAGTGTTCCAGGTGCATGAAGAGCCCATGGAGACCAGAAGAAAGTGTCAGATTCTCTGGACCGGAATTATAGATGGTTTTGAGACTCCATAAGAGTATTGAGAACTGAATTCAGGTTCAGTTCTTAAGAATGCAAGAGCAGCAAATGCTCTTAACCACTAAATCATCATCTCTCCAGCTTCCACTACTGTATTTTTAAAAAATGTGTTTAAGAAAAAAGGGGCCAGGCACGTGGCTTTCACCTGCAAATCTTAGCAATCAGCAGGGAAGACAAGAGGATCTTAAGTTCAAGAGTAATCTGAACTACAAAGTAAAAGCCTGTTTCAAAAAAAGAGGGGACTATTTAATAATTTGAAACAAAATGTTCTATTTATAAGGAAAATAACAAACAAACAAACAAACCTACAATCTTAGGACATACAATTCCAAAACAGGAAGGAAGAAAAACTCATTTCTAAGAAAGAATCACAGAAGACATCTTAAAAAAAAAATAGGTTATGTAATAGACATATAGAAAATATAAATAAAAAACAAATGATAATAAATAGGGTATAACTATACAAAAAATTAAATATGACAAAATGTCAAAATAAAATTTTAGTACATTTAGTAAATATTAAAAAGATGGACAGTAGCCAGCATGCCTAAGTATGTGGCTGCCCTGGCTTTGAATGCAAGATAAGGCTGCTCAGCCTCACAACTACAGGTGTAGGCCACCAAGCACAGCTCTGAAAAATTTCTTAAGATGAAAGAAGTGAAATCCAGTAAGCAACAAGGTATGAATGGGGTATGTGGTTTAAAGTACAGAACTAGGTGTTCATATACATTCTAAATAGGAACTTTTCTGGACAGCATTCTACCATGGAAGATTCCAGTTGCAAGGGATCTGATTCTTTCTTCTGACACATGGTGTACATACATGTATGCAGGAAGAATATTCATACATAATAAACATTTTAAAAAAACCCTATGTATAGCCAGGTTAACCTCTATAATTCTAGTACTCAGATGTCTTAGGCAGGAGGCAGGTAGATGAGGCTAGTAGGGCTACCCAGTGAGACTATCTGAAAACAAAAATATGGAACACTCCCTCACATACATACACCAAATCCTTTAAAAAACATTTTTTAAGGAAAATTTAAGTTACCACAGTTAAATTTAAAGCATAACTTCTAACAATTTATCATAAAACATCAGTTTAGCTTTGATCCCTGCACTCTGGGAGGTAGAGGCAGGTGGATCTCTGTGATTTCAAAGCCAACATAGTTTATAGATCAGACTCCCCCCCCCAAAAAAAAGAACCCATTCCACATCAGTTTATACTTGGCCCTTCCCATTATGTATAAAATTCTTATAATTTCTAAGGTCAAAAGAGAATATAAGCATTTTCTCAGATAGTATCATAATAGGCAAGTCAATAGTTATGAGAAAATTAAGATTTATTTTGAAAGCATTACTAATATAATAGGTCCTAGTCAATCCAATTTAAAGATGCTATTTTAATTTATAGTTTCCTATTCTCCCCTCAAATCTCAGTTCCATTCATAACAATTTAAAATATGAAACTGTCTACAAATAGTTTTGAACTCAGAGTTACTTTATTCCACACTTCATTTTACAAGATTTTCCAAGTGTGAGTTTTAACAGTTTAAAGCAAACATTACACCTTTTCCCTTACAACAAGAAACATTTACTTAATACAATGAATGTTAGTCCCAGAATCAAGCTTTTCTTTGTAGATGCCTTCTGATTAGCACCAGAAACTCTCAAATGCCTTCCCACAAATACTGAAAAGTCAAATTTATAAATTTAACTGTGTCTACAAATTATATCCAGATACCTTGAAACAAAGACTGCTATAATTTTACTTAGTCTTTTTTTTTTTTTTTACCTGGAGGGTGCCACTCCCACTAAGTTGGGGCCTAATCCTCTAAACAATGAGCGAGGACCCTCTTTTTCCAGGATAACTCTAAGAAGAGAAAAAGAAATATTAGAAAGAAATGTTCTTCTATCCTTTACAATATCCTAGAACAAAACCAATTTCTCCTATTTATAATGTATCTTTCCAGTCCAATTTCATTACTATAAAAACTTTGAGGGGGGGCACAGGCAAAGTACTGAAAATCAAAGTGATTTACTAGTAATAAAACTCTGCATATTCTTTTCTAAAATGTCTGGCAAGACGGCTCAGTGGGTAGAGGTACTTGCCACTGGGTCTGAGGATCTAATTTGGATCCCTGGAACTCACCTAATGTTGGAAGGAAAATTGACTCCACACAGTTGGCTTCTTTCTTTACATGTATACTGTGCCATGTATGTACCTATATACACATGCATAAAATGTTTAAAAATAACAGTTTTATTGAGGTATGTAGGCTCATGCTTGTAATTCCAACATTGGGAGGCTGAGATAAGAGGATCATCCCAGTTTGTGTGAGTTAAAAGTCAGACTGGGCTTCAGTGAGACCCTGTCTCAAAATAACAGAGGAGATTAAGAAATATCTAATAAGCATGTGGCACTGACATGCTTTCTCTCTCCTTTTCACTTCATCAGCAAATTCGATTCCACAAGCAGAGTGTAGCTTCTTTCTGCTCTTAGGGTTTTGCCTGGTACTGGGGATCAGACTCAGCTTCATACACAGAAGGCAAATCCTCCACCACTGAGCTGCAGCCCAATCCTTTTAGTCTTTACCCAATCCTGGAAACTCTCAAGTTCTGAAGTACGATGTCAATCAACAGTTTCAGGGAGATGCTATGACAAGTCTATCACCCTAACCATGGCTTACTAGAATGTTTGGTCAATTTCCCCTCCAATTAGTTAATATCTAATGTATTGAGAACTTAGTGTATGAAGAGCTCATGACTAGATTAAAAAAAAAAAAGATATAGGCCCTCACACTCAAAACTCTACTGAATAGTTGAGAAAAAAGCATATTAATGCAAATAATTTAATAGGTCACAATAAACAAATACTATACAAGATATTTATCCCCAGAAGAAAAAGGGATAAAGAGCCTAAAACATAAGAGGCTTTCTGAGATTAAGTGGTTTAATGAAGCTGTAGAGGTGAGATGGAAAATAATATTTTAATGGCGAAACCAGACGTGGTGGCATGTGCCTGTAGTCCCATATTTGGGAGGACGAGGCTGAAGAAGTTCAGGCCAGTCTAATTAGAATTGACTTGGAACCAAAAAAAAAAAAAAGGAAACTTTAGCACTAAGAAACAGGTAAATCAAGTGCTTCTCTCAGAGTATCTATATACTTCCTCCCTAGTGCTGGGATTAAAGGCGTGTGCCACCACTGCCCAGCAAGAAAGATCTCTTAAAAGGCAAATGAATGTAACAGTTAATTAAAGATATAAGTTGAAGGCAAGATTTTTTCTATGAAGTCCAAAGGTAGAAAACAACTGTATGAAAAAAGTAATCTCGGGGCTGGAGAAATGGCTCAGCGGTTAAGAGCACTGACTGCTCTTCCAGAGGACCCGGGTTCAATTCCCAGCACCCATACAGCAGCTCACAACTGTCTGAAAATCCAGTGCCAGGGGATCTGACACCTTCACACCAATGCACATAAAATAAAGATAAATCATAAATTAAAAAAAAGGAAAAAAGTAATCTCACCCATTTTAGTTTAAGGATAAGAAAACAAAACAGTATTCACTTATTGGGTGCTTTAGTGATTAAATGATTTACAAAGAAGTTAAAGGTGGGCATGAAAAAACTTGAGGAAATGGCGGTGGTGCATGCCTTTAATCCCATTACCAGGGAAGCAAAAGCAGGTTAATCTTTGTGAGTTTGAGGTCAGTCTAATCTACATAGAGTTCAAGGTCAGCTAGTGTCACCTAATGAAGCTTTGTTTCAAACAAACACCCCTGAAAAATTTAATAAAAAAAAAAAAAAGTAAGTTCTTATGAAAACCAAAACAAAGTATATCACAAGGGTCTAAAGCAGAATTTTAAAAAAGATCTGATTAATGGTAATGTCAAAATTATTCATTCAGAAATGAATTAAGATTCATTTCCTGGAGCTGGAGAAATAGCTCACTGGTTATGAGCACTAGCTGCTCTTCTAGAGATCCTGAGTTCAATTCCCAGTACCCACATGGTAGCTCACAATCATCTATAACTGGAGTCCCACGGGATCTGATGTCCTCTTCTAGTGTGCATATATATGCAGACAGAATACCCATATACACTTAAGATATGCAAAAAATATTTTTAAAAAGATACATTTCTCACACCAATCAGTACTTTACTGTAATTGACATTTTAATTCAAAACTGCTGACAGTTTTACTCATGTACTTAGGTAACCAAGTTGAAAAAAGCATGATGCAATCTCTTAGTAGCAAATGTAAATATACTGGATGAGTTCATTTGCTACTACAAAATAAATACTACTGGTCAGTTCAAACAGATTTAAGTCAAGTGAACTGATAAGGTAGACACACAAGCATTGAGCTCTAATACAAATCTAACGACACAGAAAATGATCTGAGTAAGTTTTGTTTTGCTTTTCAAGACAGGGTTTCTCTGTGAAGCCCTGGCTGTCCTGGAACTTGGCTCTGTAAACTAGACTGGCCCCAAACTCAAGAGATCTATCAGCCTCTGCCTCCCAAGAGCTGGGATTAAAGGTGTGTGCCACCACAGCCAGTCTTAAATAAGTTTGAAAGCAACGTGATTAAGTCTAGTAACATAAACAGGCCAATCCTCTTCTAATCATTAGAAAATGTCAACACAGAGATTTTCAAAACTGGTATAACTGTTTCAAGCTGAAGCTGTATAAATTATATATGTGATATATTTTATAAAAGAAAATTGTCAGCAACTAGATGCAGGTACTTGTGCATATATGTGAACGTTAAACACACAATAGTAACACCAATACTACCTTCATTTTAAAACTAAATACAACAGCCATCTGGGTATGGTGGCACAGAGGTAGGCCTGTTCTGGATACTGAATTCCAGACCAGTCAGGTCTCAAAAATTAATCAATTCAATGCAAAATACCTTTATAACTTAGAAAACTTTAAGAAATAAAGAATTTCTAAAGAGTATTTCTAAAGAATAACTTTAGAAAAGAAACCCAATGGATAAATTTAGAAAAAATAGTTTAAATATATACAACTTGGAAATATTCCATTTAATATAATTTTTATAACTGTTCTACTCCATTATAGTCTGCTACAACTAATAAGTATGATTCATGCTAACTTCTGTCATTAGCTTTTCTAAAAAACCTTTTTAAAATGTGTAAGAAAAAAGCTAAGCATGTGGGAACCACTAAGATAAGCAGCGGCAGCAACAAAATCCATGAATGCTTAGCTCTCACTTTAGGCAGTGCAGAGGCCCAGGGGACACTACTCGGTTGACACTGGCTCCGGTCATGGTGTTCAGCTGAACTTCAGAGACATAAAGTGTCACAGAAGATGACTGTAACCGCGTTTTGACAACTTCCAGTGGACATGTCAGAATAGCTCCCACTGTGCCACCACATCTACAAAAAGACGAAAAGATCAGAATTAGGTATCTAACAGCCAATGAGAATATATATTTTTACTTAGTGCTCTAATCCAAAGGTGTTTTGTAACCTACAAAAATTTAAAAGTACTGAGGAAACTATGCACCCAGCATTTTGCAACTGGTAGCCCCGTCCCCAAATATCAGAATAAAATTTGAAACAAACAAACACTGAGCTTAGTACTTTACATACAATTGGGTACAGGAGGAGCTCCAGTGAGGGCCATTCCTAAAACGATTGGCAAAAGAGCTGATCAGTGCTTCTTGCCACGGTATGACTTACAGCACTGTCGGATCTATACCAGTGCTTGAAATGTATTTCATTTTTCACATTTCTTTTTTGTTTTTTTGTTTTTGTTTTTCCAAGACAGGGTTTCTCTGTAGCTTTGGAGCCTGCCCTGGAACTAGCTCTTGTAGACGAGGCTGGACTCACAGAGATTGGCCTGCCTCTGCCTCCCGAGTGCTAGGATTAAAAGTGTGCGCCACCACCGCCCAGCCCATTTTTCACATTTCTAACCCTTTAAGATCCCAGAAATCATTCTGAACAGTAGGACAGAGATCAATTACTTATGGATAGTCATGCGTATTTCTAATTTTAAGTACTCCCAACTCTCAGAAGAACTTTGTTAAAAAACAGTTTCAGTCACTATCTCTTATGTCCACACGTGTAGAACAGGCAGAATTAGTGAAAAAAAAATCAACAAAACCCTTTTTATATAAAGATTGATCATCAGAGGAACAAAATAAAAACTTTTAATAAAATGTCTTGTTTAAACTGGTTAGAAAAAAAAACCCACAGAATTTAAGTAATAACCTAAGCAATACTTCTCTTTAAATACAAGAGTAGGACATAATGGTCTACATCTGTAATCCCAGCTCTCAAGAAGCTGAGAACAGACTAGGTCGGGGAATAACTCAGTAGGTAAGAGCACTTATACAAACATGAGGACCCGGGTTGGAATCCTCAGCACCCTTGTAAAACCAGACATGGCCATATAATGAGTGCAGCACTGTATTAATTTAACTTATACGAAAGGTATTTCATTTTTATGGCATCATCAGCTTCGTGCACAAGATTAAAGCACTGTGCTATAATGCATTTAGTTTTATGTCTAAATGAACGTAAGCACAACCAAACTATATTAAGTATACAGTATTTAGCTCACTTATGCATCTAAGATGTGGATGCACAATTATTCAAAGTTAAGCAAGTAATTAATTAAAGGAAAGGGCTTGAGAGCCGTGATGCAGGCTTATAGTTTCAGCAAGTAGGAGGCAGAAGAATAATCAGAAGTTCAAGGTAATCCTTAGTTACACAGTGAATTCAAGCAAGGCTAGGCTACATGAAGTCCTATCTCAAAAAACAAATACTATGTAATATTATTTGAGCCTTATTCCACTCCTTCAGTTTCACATCAATAAACAACTAAATTTTCATTAAGACAGAATTAAACTTTTCAGAAACACCAATCTGCATAAACAATATAATCACGTTTTTTTTAAAAAATAGCAAGAAGTCAAGAAGCAAGACTACAAGCTCAAGGCCTACCTAGGATACTCCACTTTAAGATGAGCCAGGCCAAGTTAAGATTAAAAAGAGGTTGGAGCATAAGGCTCTGGGTTTACTTTGCAAAGTAGCATGAGAATAAAGAATCAGGATGAAGTATCTTAAACCGAAACAAGCTAAAAAAAACCTAGACCCATGCAGAAAAGGTCTAGAAGTTAAAAATCATCAGAAAGATAAAAAGGATTCAAGGTTTTCTGACACTCAACTATCAGAAAACACAAGAAAGAGTAAAAGACACACCACTCAAGCATGGTGGTGCATATTTTTAGTCCCAGGACTTGGAAACAGAGGCAGGTGGATCTCTGAGGTAGTCTGGCCTACAGAGCAAATTCCAGGCCAGTCATGGAATTTGTCTCAAAAAGCATAGGAAACACACTAAAGACACAAAGTAACAAATGAAAAAGAAAAATCAATTACCTTCATTCAACTCTCTCTGGCTGTGTGCACATCTACTCAGCACTGACTCCAAGTGATTAAAGCAAGCCTTGAGGTCTCCTGCCTTCTATAGGAGCTATTTTCCTCCGGCCCAGGGACCTGGCCATAAGTTAGAGCCATGTAGGATGGCAGGCAATTCATCTGCTAATGTGAATATTTTACTACTTAAAAGTTACAATTTAAAAGTTATTTCTGTAAAACAATCACTCATTTGCTCTGTTTTCTTCACTGGCAACTCGAAGGAGAAAATAGTCCAGTTTGAGACCAAGGAACATTAAAAATTCATAATAGCATCAATCTCTACACTACACATCTTTCTGTATTTGATGTGTAAAATAGTATTGTATCTTTGATATATCCAAAGTAACCTCAATTTTTTTCTTCTTAGTCAAACTACCTGAACCAATGTGCATCTTAAAAGTTTATAGGCAGGGACTAGAGCAATGGCTTACGTGTTATGAGCACTGGTCATTCTTCCAGAGAACAGAGTTCAATGCCCAGTATCCACATGGAGGGTCACAAGAGTATGTAATAGCAGTTCTAGAGGATTCAACGGTACTCAGCATGCACACAGTGCACAGACATACAGGCAGGCAAAACACCAGGCACATAAAACAATAAAGTTTATAGGCAATTAATGGGGAGTGGTCCACACCTATAATTTAGCACTGTTGAGGCCAAGACAAAGGGACCAAGAACTGCAGACCTGCATAACAAAACACTGCCACCTAGAAAGAGGAAGGGAGAGAGGGAAGAAGGGGAGAAAGGTAGGAGAAAGGAAAGGACGGACTAGGAAGGAAAAGGAACTAAAGGGGTAAACAACCAAGATTACTTAGAAAAATAAGACAATCATTCGTTCTATGCATCGATCTACAGACTATTCAACATTGTTAAATTCGACTATTTTATAATCTTCTACCTTTATGTTTGTCTGTGTGGTAAGTTTACCCAACTTTGACAAGTTGATTCTATTTGCTTATGTACATAAGAAAAATTCAGGCATGCCAGTGGTCAACTACTTTAGTACTTTTTTTTTTTAACCAACCTCTTGAGTAAGTTGGCACAGTTTAGTAAGCTAGGCACCAAGAGACTGTTTAAAAGCACAGAATTCAAAAACTGCAAACATCTTGTGAGACTGAGGGCTTCAAAGTGTTCTCCTGCGCAAGTTTACCACAGGGCACAAGGACTGTAAGCTGAGGGTGAGGGGGTGGGGAAGGCAAAGGGGAAGTTTTCACTAAACAGCAGTGAAGTAGCAAGCAGATCCATTTCAACCACACTGCTAAGAATCTTGAACCTGCCAGGTATACAGTTACAAATACAGTTCTATAGTCTCAAACAGCTGAATCACTAGGACCAGTTCCGCGGTCTATAAAAAACTTTTACAAACCGAACTGAGGCGTATGTGGGGGGGGGGGGGGCACACATAGGAACCTAAGAACTTTCAAGATTCTGCTGAAGGAAAGGGAGGAACAAGGAACAGAACAGATTCCAAGACTGTGACTGTCAGACATAGGTTGCCTTCAGTCTGAGGTTCCGAGCATGCCTGAGCCAGAACACTTGTTGGACAGGCAAGAAAGTGTGCTAAGTATTTCCTAGGTAGGTCCACAAATCTGGGTGGAGTACACATTTTAAAAGGTGCTTGGAAATTCATCTTTCTTAATATTTACACAAATCTATTTCCTCGAACAAATGCAGTTTATCTTTGTAAAAGCAAAATGAACAGGTTGACCCATTTTTCTGTTTCCAAGTAACACACCATTTCATGAGAAACAACACTAAAAACCAGTTCACGAAAATGTTAATTTATCTTAAGGTTTTTTGTAATCCTAGGTCTCTGTGAGTTTGCGACCAGCCTGGTCTATAGAGTGAGTTCCAGGACAGGATCCAAAGCTACACAGAGAAACTGTCTTGGGGGGGGGGGGGGGCCCCCACGACAAACAACACCAAAACATGTGGGCCACCTCTAAAATCCTATAAACCTCATTAAGGAATTTTAACCCCCAACCTTTTCTTTTATAGCCTAATTTATTAACCAACACTATAGAATGAGTATTATCTTCAAGTCTTTAGTATTTAAGGCAAGAAACACACTTTTTTCAAAATGGCTAGGAACATTTCCTATACAGTGTTAGATTACCATTTAAAACTAAATAAATTGTTGAAGTGAAAGGGGTATTTAAGGTATGTGTGATATTTCTGGTTCAGAAAAAAATTAAAAAGACCATTCTTACTTTGAATGCTACAGCAAAATAAAGAATAATAATAATACCCAAATCAGAAAAATGCTGGCCAGCTGGTTAGATAAACATAGATGTGTGGAAGGGCACTAACACAGAGATCAGGACACAGTTGTATAGTACCAGACTAAGGACTAAAAATAACCCACTATGGAAACAAAATATGCACGAGGAAACATGATTATTTTGAAAAAGTAAATTTCAGGTAGGTGGTGGTGGCACACACCTTTAATCCCAGCACTCAGGAGGCAGAGGCAGGCTGTGAGTTTGAGGCCAGCCTGGTCTATAGAGAGTTTCAGGACAGGCTCCAAAGCTACAGAGAAACCCTGTCTTGAAAAACAAACAAACAAACAAACAAACCAAGACTATATTTGCTTCTCTTCACATTTTTAACAACTAATCAAAATCACTAAATTCTCCAATCAGATCAGATCCAGTGACTAAGAGCTCTTTAGCTAAATTTGTATGACAGTAACACAGGAAAGTTCACCATCTCTTCCTTGCTGCATTTGGTTTCAGAATGTATTTTCTGGTTCTTCTAGTTTCTTTTCTTTTTTGAGACAGAATCTCATTATATAGACCAGGCTGACCTCAAACTCGAAGATCTGCTTGCCTCTGTCTCCTGAGTGCTGGGACCAAGGGCATGCACCACCAGGCTCATCTGGCTCTTCTACTCTGTTCTAATCTTGTATTGGAGATCTGAACTTAAGTCTTCATGATTGGCATTAGGCACTCCCTAGTCCCTGTATGAACATTTTAAGGGAAACTAGCAAAAACCTAAAAGACTCTGCTCCTAA